TTTCGAAATTGGCCAAAGTGGGCCCTGACACTGTTTTTGAGTTTTTTTGGGATACATGTAGGTACTTGTAGCGCGATTTAATCTCCAAAGAAAAATTCAGGGAACCCGGGGACCGCCAGTTGGTGCAATCAATAGTTTAGTCTTTCGGGCATCAAATTGAGTAAAAATCCCCCACCTTATTCTCTGTTATGAATTTGAAGTCTAAATAAATAATAATACGGTATTTGTGTAATTTAGAAAATATCTATAATTAATTATGGGTTACTAATAGAGGAAGAATAAAAAATTATTCTCTGTTGATGTTTGTCAATTTATTTTACAGTTTAAATGCATAATAATATATGCTTTATTGATTTTATGGTTTTGAATGCTTGTATTCCTGCCTTATGTGACTACTATTAAATTGAAAAATTGAGACATGATTGCATTCCCTTATGCATGTTTGTTTGTTTATGTGATTATGGTTGAATTGAAAAATGGAGACTAAAGAAAAATAGAAAATTGTGTGTTAAGTGAATGGATGAAACGACAGCGTTACTGAATATCCTAGGAAATGGTGGACGAACTGAGTACAATAGAAAATCCTACCGTGAATGTTGTCTCATACCGGACGGAGTATCGAAACTTAGTAATTTGGTGCTCATACCGAACAGGGTATGGGGACGACCCATTTCACCCTCATATCGGAACGGGTATTGAGATTTAGTAATTTGGTGCTCATACCGGACGGGGTATGGGGATGGTCCGTTAATTGAAAATGTTAAAGAAAATAGTTCATGTGTAGCGGAGACATCCCTATGAACCCCCATGGATACTAGCAAGCTAATAGAAATGGACAGTTGGTGTTTGATTTATTGAATATGGATCTATGATGTATGTGTGTTACCGATTGCATATCAAATTATGATAAGTGTTTTGTTATTGTCTCTATAGGTTGCTTTTATAAATCTCGCTGCGGTAAGTAGACGATAAGTGATTTTATTATTACTAAATGCATTTGTTTAATTAAATGCTCCATTAGTTGTTTTTTATTTTTCCACCAATCTTCATTTCTGTGTCAGTGAGTAGCATAATATTCTTACTGGGTTAGTGTAACTCATTCCTTATTTAACCATTTTAGATCAAGAGGACCAGGATTCAGAGCCCGATCCGTAAGATGGTTGCAAGTAGGATGCCAATTTCATTTTATTTTCTGTTTATTTTCTTAATTTTTTGTATTTCCTTTAAACGAGTAATTCCTGTAACACTATTTGGGGCATTAAATCTATGTGTAAGGAATGTGAACCCTAACTATTTACTTTGCTTCCGTACTAGATCCATAATTTATTTTCTTTAAAATTTTTGGGGTCGTTACAGTTGGTATCAGAGTCGCATTCCTTGGACCTATTCCTTACACAAAACCCTTAGGAAACACAAAAAATAA